GACCCTTCCTCAGAAGGGTTCTGAGGAAGGGTCACCGGACCTGAAACGTTAACTCTGTTTTCTCCTCCACAGATGCTGCCAGACCTGCTGAGCTTTTCCAGCAACTTGGTTTTTGTTCCTGATTTACAGCATCCGCAGTTCTTTTGGTTGTTCTTTCCCACCTATCTGCCGCATCCTTCCCTTTGACCAGTTCCCACTACTCATACCCATATCCACCTATCACCATCCCACCTACCTTCCCCCAGCCTCACCCCTCCTCCCTCTATTTATTTCCCAGCTTCCTTCCCCTTCCCCAGTCCTGAAGAAGGGTCCGGACCCGAAACGTCGACTCTCCTGCTCCTCTGAAGCTGCCTGACCAGCTGTGTTCCTCCAGCCCCACACTGTATTGACTCTGACTCTAGCATCTGCAGTTCTTGCTATCTCCTACTCCCTCTATACTCCTTAAAAAATTCACTCAATCCCAGCTGTCTATACCTGACATATGCCTCCTTTCTCTTGACCAGAACCTCAACATCTCTCGTCATCTAGTGTTTACCACTCACGCCAGCCATGCTCTTCACATTAAAGGAACATGCTGTCCCTGAATTCTCAATATCTCACTTTTGACAGCCTCTCACTTACCAGACATCCCTTTACCTGTGAACAGCCTCCGCCAACCAACTTTTAGAAGTTCCTGTCTAATACCATCAAAATACTCATTTAGAGTTGCTAAACATTAACTTTAAACAAACATGAATTGATACTTCATGCTTAATTGACTAATAAAGTTGAGTACTTGTGCTGAGACTCAGGACTGATGTGAACAATAGAATACTTACAACTCTCTATTTCAAGTGTGCAGTTCTGCTGATCAAGTGGATATCTTCGCAAGTCCATCATGCAAGCAGCTGTTGTGGTAATTCTGCAAAGGAAATGATGATTTAGTAGCCAAGCAAAATATACTCTTTCATTGGACATTCTTAAAAGAAATCAAGGTGTTTTTGCGAGGGGAGAGAGCTTCAAATTCTTAAAGACATTTCCATTTTCAGAATATTAGTTTTGATACTGTCAAAATGGTTGCATTAAGGCTGTAACACATTAGTAGTTTTGGTTATTCACTGGCAAGGCTCAATAAACTAAATTTTATTGATCCTGAACTCTGTAATGATGTGTCAGCCTAAGCTCAATGATGACAATCTCACTTCCAAGTCATGGGTTAAGTCCTACTTTAAAGTCTTAAGGTCTAATGTATTTGCCTGTCATTTTACACTAGCATTTTGGTATTTTCACTTCTTTAGCTGCAGGGCATATTCATTTTGTGGTACTTCACAATCAAACAAGAAACTTTCAGCTTTTCCTATTTGGTTTACATCCATACTACATTTTACTTACAAATCAAAAACAAAGTAATATCTTAAAACTGGTGACTTCTGCTTCTCAACGTTGTTTACTACATTTTTTTTGAGTCATTCGTTATTAACATTGATAAATCCCTGAACTTCAATTATCACTTATTTCCCATGTACAGAAAATGTCTTGAATGTCTTAAGCAAAAGGATATGATAGACACCAAGGGTATAAGAACCATAGTTGAGAAAACAAAGTTGTGTTAATGAAGGGGACCTCAAATAGGTTTCTGAATGAGAAAAGAGAAGTGGCAAGCGATGGGAATTGAGCTAAGAATACTGGAGGCTAAGAGTGTAGTGGCTGAACCAGCAACTATGAAAGACAAAATGTCAGTGGGATAAAAAAGGCAGGAGGAGTCTATGGTGATAAAATAATGGGAGAACATGAAGTAATCTGAAAACATCAATGAGAATTATAGAATCAACTTTCTTTCTGTTGCCGCTTGTTATAAGTTCCACTGCTCTTGAATGAGCTGGAGGATGAGAAAGACAGTGCCTAATTCTGACAGAGAACGGGAAACTCTCTGTAGGGTAGCAAGAAATTGTGCACAGCTACATAATGGCATTTACAGCAGCTGATATGGACTGTCTTAAATATACTCAATGACTTGGCCTTCACAGCCGTCTGCGGCAGTAACTTCCACAGATTAACCACTCTCTGACTGAAGAAATTCTTTGTCAACTCAGTTCTAAAGGGTTGCCCCTTCACTCTGTATATTCGGATTTGAGAATGCAGGCCGAAACACAAGGTAAAACCTTGTCTTTTTAGGCCAACCTGTATAGATGGTGTTACGGAGAACCTTTGCAAACTTAAGCTCAATACATGTATATTATCTGTGGGCAGTAGAGTATAACGAAAAAAATACCACTAAGCTGGTTACTTTAGCCCAGGTCAAAGGCTAAAAGCAGGGAACTGAAAGGGTTAACCAAGGGTGAAATGGTTTCAGTTAGAAGAGCTTTTTAGTGAAAAGTAAACATACGCAGAACTAAAAGACAGCAGATGTACAGTGATAGGAGGAGGATTGAAACATACAAGCCACAGAAGGAAAAAGCCATACCTGGAATTTGGGGAGTGATTGACAAGTAACAGGAGACAGCCTAGGCTGTACAATAGGCAAAGATATGGAAGCTTTACATGGATGTGAACAATGCCTGATGCGTGTAATGTGGGGAACAAGTAAACTGACTCTAGGGAAATATGTTTAACATAAGAATGTAAATTGACCAGATTAAATTGAGTACGTGACCTAAGGTGTACATAACAGATACCTGTCCATGGAAGTTTTCCAGATTTCAAACATAAGACCGTGTTTTAAAGGTGGCTTTCCTTACATACCCTTGAATAAAGGGTCATAAATTTTACCTTAGTCTCATGGTGGTTTGTCAAGTTGAGCCACAATAATGACCATCACTGTATCCCACATTATCAAAATCCTTGGAGTTACCGTTGCTAGAAACTGAATTGAAGCAGCCATATGACCACTGTACTTGTAACAGCAGGTTAGAGGCTGGGAATTCTGCAATGAGTAACTTAACATCTGACTCCTCAAGGCCTATACAGCATCTGCAAGGCACAAGTCAGGCCTGTGATAAAATATATCCTTCAATTATCCAAATGAATGCAATTGCGATGACACTTGTGAAGTTTTGACACCAACCAGAACAAATCAGCCTGCTTGATTGGCAGCCCAAGAAGACAGATCTACCCCAACCCTGACAATTATCTCCTCAAGGGTGTAAGGACTGTATATGTTTTTATTTTTCTGTATTTTTGGTCTGGAGTGAAACGGAAAAAGGATGGTTTTAAAACCAAGGCTTGTGTAAGGGATTGCTGCACATTTTAAAAGCAAATTACTGAAACTCATTGTTGTTCAGCGGCAGGAGTCCGGGAGAGAGTGCGAGGGCAGCCGGGAAGGTAAGCTTTTGTTATAAAAGTCTTACCTCGCCTGACTGCGGCCTTCAGTTGTTCAGCAGCAGGTGTCTGGGAGAGAGTGTGAGGGCAGCCGGGAACGTAAGCTTTCGTTATAGAAGTCTTACCTCGCGTGACTGCGGCCTTCAGTTGTTCAGCGGAGGAGTTGTCCCAGAGCGGGCGCGAGTGGTCGGCTGGGTAATGGTTATCTTTCACCCAATAAATTGGTAGTGTCTCCCACCCTTCCACCTCCTCTAACCTAATAATAAAGACTAAGTGTGGTGAGCAGGTAAGCTACTTGCATTTTTTATTTCCTCATCTCCTTGTTACCTTTCGGGGAGGTCACCTAGACACCAAGTCATCTGGGAGCTGTTTGGAAGGCAAAACCGGAGTCTGTTTGACGGAGTAAACTTACTGGTGCAGAGAACACTTAAAGAGAGAACACTGCAAAACTAAAAAAAAACAATTAATTTTAAATAATTAACAAAGTAGAGATGGCAGGTCAGGTGATGTGTCGTAGCTGTATGATGTGGAAGCTAGCTGATCCCATTGAGAACGGCACTGACCACATCTACAGCAAGTGTTGGCTGCTTGAGGAGCTCCGGCCCAAAATTGATGAGCTGGAATCCGAACTCCAAACACTGCCGCACATCCGGGAGGGGGAGAGATACCTGGATGCTGTGTCCCAGGAGGCAGTCACACTTCGTAGATTAACTAATGTTAATTCGATCAGCGGCCAGGGACAGCAGTGTGTGACTGCGAGTGAGGCAGGTAGAGGGACCCTGCAGACAGGAACACAGGAGCCACAGCCATTGACATTGTCCCACAGATATGAGGCACTTGCTCCCTGTGTGGATGAGGAACAGGGCTGCAGGAAGGATGAGTCAACTGACCATGGCACCATGGTTCAGGAAGCCATTCAAGAGGGGGGAGCTAAAGGGCAGATTGTGGTTGTAGAGGATTCCATCATCAGAGGGATAGACAGTATCCTTCGCAAGCAGGATAGAGAGTCCCGCATGGTGTGTTGCCTGCACGGTGCCAGGGTGCGAGATATCTCTGACTGGCTTATAGGCCACCAAATAATGACATCATGGTGTGGCGGGCAATAAACATAGAAATAGCTAATGCATGTAAAAATGGTACAGCAATTATCATGGGGGATTTTAATCTACATATTGATTGGTCAAACCAGGTCGGTCATGGCAGCCTTGAGGAGGGGTTCATAGAATGCATCCATGATAATTTCCTTGCACAATACGTAATGGAACTACAAGGGAGCAAGCTATCCTAGATCTAGTCGTGTGTAATGAGACAGGAATAATAAATAATCTCACAGTTAGGGATCCTCTCAGAAGGAGCGATCACAGTAGTCGAATTTAAAATACAGATGGAGTGTGAGAAGGTTAAATCCAGTACCAATGTCCTGTGCTTAAACAAAGGAGGCTATGATGGGATGAAGGAGGAGTTAGCTAAGGTAGAATGGGAGCAAAAGCTTTATGGTGGGTCAATTGAGGAACAGTGGAGGACTTTCAAAACGGTTTTTCACAGTGCTCAGCAGAAGTATATTCCAGTGATAAGGAAGAACTGTAGGAAAAGAGATAGTCAGCCATGGATGTCTAAGGAAATAAAGGAAAGTATTAGATTGAAAAAAAAACACATACAAAAAAGCAAAGAGTAGTGGGAAATTAGTAGACTGGGAAATCTTTAAAGGCCAACAGAAAGCCACAAAAAAATTTATAAAGAAAAGTAAGATAGATTATGAGAGTAAACTAGCTCAGAATATAAAAACAGGCAGCAAAAGTTTCTATAAATATGCAAATCGTAAAAGAGTGGCAAAGGTAAACATTGGTCCTTTACAGGATAAGAAGGTCAATTTAATAACTGGGAATGAGGAAATAGCCGATGCATTAAACATTATTTTGTGTCGGTCTTCACAGTGGAAGACACAAATAACATGCCGAAAAGTGATGGCAAGAAGGTTATAGCAGGTGAGGACCTAGAAACTATCATTATCACTAAGGAGGCAGTGCTGGGCAAGCTAATGGGGCTAAAGGTAGACAAGTCTCCTGGCCCTGATGAAATGCATCTCAGGGTACTAAAAGAGGTGATGGGGGAAATGCAAATGCACTGGTAATTATTTACCAAAATTCACTGGACTCTGGGCTGGTTCCCGCAGATTGGAAAACAGCCAATGTGACGCCACTGTTTAAAAAAGGAAGTAGACAAAAAGCAGGTAACTATAAGCCAGTTACCTTAACTTTGGTAGTGGGGAAAATGCTTGAATCTATCATTAAGGAAGAAATAGCAAGACGTCTGGATATAAATTGTCCCATTGGGAACACCCAGCATGGGTTCATGAAGGATAGGTCATCTTTAACTAATTTGGTGGAATTCTTTGAGGGCATTACTTGCATGGTAGACAATGGGGAACCTGTGGATGTGGTGTATCTGGATTTCCAGAAGGCATTTGACAAGGTGCCACACCAAAGGCTGCTACCTAAGATAAAGTTGCACGGTATTACAGGTAATGTATTGGCATGGATAGAGGATTGGTTGACCAGTAGAAAACAAACAGCAGGGGTAAATGGGTGTTTTTCTGGTTGGCGG